GGAGAAGGCGTATTTCTGTTGAATTTGACGTAGCTAACTGTAAATTTTTGTTACTATACATATACAGAAATAACAAAGCAGTGCAAAATTTTCCTAGAGGTATTTAGTTATTATTTTGAGATACCTGTGTGCGAAAGTACTTTGCTTTTATTACTTCCCGAACGTAAAGTTGATACGTCATCTCAAAATTTTGCCGAATACGTTTGATCTAAAATAGCAAAACATGATCTGTCTATACTTCTAATTTATCATTGCATTAATATATTTTAGATTTGCTTATACAGGGGAGCAGTACGGCTCAGATAGCCCCTAGCGCGGCGCAGCGATAATGCTCATGAAGCAACGCGTCCGCAGTCACTTGGTGGATGGGTGGCCAAGATCGCCATACCTACCTGAGCGGCTCGGTGCGTCTCCCCCCTCGACACCCAATGGGTAAAAGAGGGTAACTGATTATATATTATACAGGGTGATTCAAAACAATTAATGAATCAGTCAACTTATTTTATTGAATAAATCAATACTTTGAAATCTTATAGACTTGTTAAATCCTGATAAATTGTTAATCAATACATATCTGTTTACTCCCCCCAAAAATTGATGAATAAATTTTACCCAAAATGTGCAAAATATGATGTGTTTTTACTTGTGATTTATCATTGTATTCAAATCTTTTAGTTTTGCTTAACCAGATGGGTCAAAAAAAAAAAATGAATGGGGCAATTTATTTTAATGATTAAATCCAGCAAGGCTCACTCCATTTTCTCAGAAAATTTTAGGAATTACTGTTATTTTTAGTATTACACTGCACCAATCCAATTCGATATACGTATCCTTGTTTTTCCTTGCGCTGGTAATACGCTGTGACTACTTTTCTTTTGTGCTGTGACTAGTATTATCCATGTTGATGACATCGTCATAAATTTTTTATTGGTCAAATTAAGAACGAGTCACTAAGAATTATAATATTCAGAACATTTTGTTCGATTGTGGTTTAATTAATAATTTTAGTCCTGTGTTTTGAGAAAACAAACTCATTCAAATCAAACTTATAATTTCTACATGACATTCTTTCGATGTATACCTAAACATAAATAAACACTTGAGCGTCAGACTGCTATTACCTACTCATGAAGGTCAAGGGTTCTTAGTGATCGATTATTTTAAATTCAACATGACTATCACAATCTGACTGTCAGTCAGTAGCGTAACGTGCACACTTCAGAAGGGGGTGGTTTTTAAATTATATTTTTTTAAATTGCAAACTAACACGCGGAAACATAAACTTAAGTGAACTGGTCAAGACGCTAACACGAATGCGGATGAATCTATTAGGCACTAATCTAAACAGGTACAGGTACCCATTGCAGGTAGAAAAGTTCACTATGACAGAGAAACGATGACGGAAGCCTGTGAGGGCGCGCCTATTCGAAAATGGTGGATATATTTCATTGTACTCCAAGAGCGAGAGAAGTTCTGCCGAAACACCATTTTTTTTTTAGATTTGCTTATATAGATTGTCTCAAAAAAATTAACGACTGAGGGGGTAATTTCAAGTTGGATTTGCGAAATCGCAAGTGCTGTTGCTATGGTAATTTCAATGACAGTTGTTGCGATTCGCGATTTGATTCGTCCTCGCGACTGCTGTCATCGCATGTTCCATGGCAACGGGGACTTGCGAAATCGTAAATCGAACTTAAAATTGGCCCGTTTATTTCATTGTTTAAATCAAGAAAGTGCAAAAGTGAATATTTCGAAATCTTAAAGACGTTTTGAAGTTATTGTAAGCACCTCTGTTATTGTTATTACATACAGCAGAGGTGATTAAATTGTTTCGTTATTTTATTGATTATAAATCACTATTCAAGGATAACAATAATACAATAATACTTTTATCATTAGTATTACAATGCATCTGTCCAAAATGATATATCGTCACCTTAGAACTGGTTTGCCGCATATCCAGATCGCGTTCGAGGGATTTTCGCCTCTACTGTTTGGTGCAGATTTGCCGCATGTCGCACTTTATTACATACAGCAGAGGTGATTAAATTGTTTCGTTATTTTATTGATTTTTAAATCACTATTCAAGGATAACAATAATACAATAATACTTTTATCATTAGTATTACAATGCATCTGTCCAAAATGATATATCGTCACCTTAGAACTGGTTTGCCGCATATCCAGATCGCGTTCGAGGGATTTTCGCCTCTACTGTTTGGTGCAGATTTGCCGCATGTCGCACTTGGGCGAAGCGAAACATAGTTTAGATTCAGTGCTGATTTGCCGCATGTCCAAGCAGAAATCGATACAGTACCGTTATCCGTTTTTACGTACTTCCTTGCTGTTTTGCTTTTCAGCGTTAGGTTTGGGGTTGGGAAAGAAATCGTATTCAACTTCACGCGCAGAACAATAAGAATAATGTGAAATAAATAAAAAAGAGACTTAACAATTTTGATGAATCTGAAATTAAAAAAAAGCAACTGTAATTTGTGCAACTCTTTTTCTGTTGTTATAGATGTTACAAATATTTTCAAATTATTAGATTCGAAATTTTACAAATTTAAATTTCAAATAGATTTGTTATTCGATAAACAAATAATTTAATTTTTTACTAAACAGTAACATTTTTCTTTAATTTTTTCTCGGGAATGATTGAACTTATTTTCTCTAAAGTTTTAGTGAACAAGATTAAACGCTGCATACCAGTAAAAGAGTTCACAATTTTTTGTAGTATTCTTATTTGTAGAAACAATATTTCTACATCAATACCTAATCACAAATAATAGATACATTTTTAATTTTTTAAATTAAAATGTTGTAAAAGTAATATGAAAATTAAAATTTCGAAGCAAAATCTGTTTAGGTGGATTTTGCTTCGAAATTTATTACTGGAACGTTTACAAAAATCAGCTTTTGACATAAAATGCTTGCAAATTTGAAACAGAATTGGAATGTTTCTTGACAATCATGCCTAATACATTTTTGACTTGTATCTTTTAAAAAGAATTATTTCCGAATTTATAGCTATTTACAATTTACGACTTACTTCAAGAACAAATTCCGTATTAGAATTTTACCTATAATAACTAAATAGATGTATGTTGTTAACTTATATAAGGTACCTTACATCGAAACGAGTAATTTGTTTTTTAATATGACATTGCCTTTCTTTATCATTCTATTTGTCTAACAATTATTGTTGTGCAATTATACGCGTGTAAATAAAAATAACTTTACAATAACTTATTTATGGGTAAATTTTTTTACCAATTAATTTAAGTGGATGGTTATATGTAATGGTAATAATAGCCGCATAAAATTCACTCACTGTTTAGGTATACCAGATATCAAAAGCTATTAAATCCAGATGTTATTGTTTATTTTTTTTATGTCTCGAGCGCAAGCTAAGGAAGTATTGTAATCAGGTTCATCGGGCGACTGGCTACTTTTATGGCTTCTCAACGTTTCATGACTCCTATAATACGAAAACATAGGTCTCTCGTTTCCGGTTGATAAAACGCTGACCAACATTTGTAATCATCCTCCCCATCATATAACGTCATCTCCAACTTTTACAGCAATAAATGTTATATAAATTTTAAAAAATAACATACTTTTTCATTTGTTGTTTATTGAGATTTTACCCTAAGCATCCAGATTGAATTAAATTACCATAACCCTAATTTCTTGAGATTTTGGAAACAGGATATACTACATACATAAAGAAAGTTAAAAGAATTTGAAGTAATGTAATGCTACTCTTTTTACATCAACATACTATTATTTATCAATTAATTGGGCATCGTCCAAAATACTGTTCATAAATTATAAGTGCAGGAGTTTATGCAAAAACATGCAAATACATTTTTTGCGTATAATAATATGTATTGCTTTATTATTAAATATCTACTCATTTATAAGAATTATTAAAATTAGTAAAAAAAAGTATTCAAGTCTCTGTCTAGTTTAATACCTTACCTTATTAAAATAATAAGTTTAATCAATTATGTAGTTAGCAAACAATGACGTTTAATTTATACTTAGTAGGGTTCACGGCATTAACTTTTCACATTGCATGTTTAATTCGGAGTTATAATTTGAGAATATAATTTACCCGTTTATTTATTTTTGTAGTTTAGTAGTACTTCAGCAAATTTAGAAAACTGTATGTTATTTAAAAATACGTGACAAATCACGAGGCCAGGCAATCTAGAGATCTGAATGCTGGTTTGCGCGGGAAATACTGCATACTTTTTAGATAAAAGGAGTCTATGATAAGCGCACGTAGGAGATGATAGACAGAGAGCTAATATTTAGAGCTAATGTATTGGAAAGAAATAGGACAAGTTTACGTGCACACACCACAGCCTCCCTTTCTTCTCTAAACAGTTTGGGATCATACCATAGTATCATAAATAATAATTGACAAAGAGTTCGCAAAGGAATCCAACGGAAATATTTATACAGTTGTTTACAACTACCAGTACAAATAATTCTTTCATTTTCAACTGAAAAGCGTATAACTATATTAAGTACTAGATATTATGGAGTTAGGGGTAATCAAATAGATTTGGGTTGCAGTCAACATAATTGTCACTGATACAATATTATCCGTCCTAGCAAAAATGACATCAACACAAAATTTTGCAATAGAGAAACTCAGTTGTAACAAACAGTTAGCATGTTTCTTTACCTTTACTCGAATATTAGATACATATTTTTATTTTAGCTTATAACTGTAGCCATAAAAAACAATAAAATTCGCAAAATCAAATCTTTTCATTTTTTGGGAAGAGCTGGATTTGACAAGTTGTACTTTAAGGGTGAGGGAAGTTCTATCGAAGTAATCTTCGACCAATTTTTGATTTTATCATTATCATTAGTGTGTGGCACCATCAGGTCGTTCATCTATCAGAACGCAGTTAATTAGGAGGAGGAGCCAAAAAGCGATAAGCTATGATGCGATAGTCGTAGAATGCTATAAAACACAAACATTCTAGTTTTTTAATCCAGTGGTGAATAATTCAAGACTAAAATTCTTCTGAATATTATGGCCGTTTTCGGAATTGCAGCAGCAGCTCTTGGGGGAAGCGGACTTTTAGCATATGTTGGAGCTAGCATCGCCCACAATGTTGCTAAATATTTTCTCCACTACGATGAATTTGAAACGGAAAAAGTGAATCCATCGGATTTGAGGTATGATTAACAACTAAAGCGTTCAGAGACTGACAGTTTGAAAACTTTTCAGACCTGGCGATCACATTTTTGTTCCGGGGTCTAACAGCCATGGCTTGAAAGCGAAAGGCTTGGTGGGCTATTATCACCACGGTATCTACCTTGGCCTAATAGACGGAAAGATTATGGTAACTGATTTTGGAGCCGAAAATAAGTCGCACCCTGTAATCCGGGAATTCAGCAAATTCTTGAATGGTTATTCGGATCAACTATATCGTCGGAACTATAAAGTTGAATCGAAACTTTTGAAACCTGAAAAAACTCTGGAGTATGCTAGATTAATCTGCAATAGCAAACATCGCTGGGAGCCATACAGCCTCAACACCAATAACTGCGAACATTACGCATCATTATTAAAAATGGCGCAATTTCATTCAGCACAGGCGACACATTTGCCACAAGAATTGTTCTACAGACAAACTGTTGCACTGAATCAAGGAGAAACTATTCTGAAACTGCACACTCAAGATAATTAAGTAACAAAATTTCGATTGATTTATACGATACTTAATGGTGAAGCAAATAAAATCTTACGTCTTGTTCTTGACTTTCCAGATTTTTTATTCCTCATGTTCTTTATGTCATAATTTTTGGTTTATTCAATACTTAAAATTTTCAATCTTTGATATCTCAATTCGTAGATTTCGCAATTTTTAGATTTTTCAATTTTGTAATTTTTGGATTTCACAATTATCCGATTTTCCGATTTCTTCAATTTTCAATATTTTGATTTATCAATATTTCGTTTTATCTATTTTGCACTTTTACAATTTTTAAGTCTCAATTTTTAATCTTTCGATGTTTCAATTTTTCGATTCCTCAATTTTTCAGGTTCCTTCCTGATTTCCAATATTTTTCAGTTTTCATTTTTTACTTTTTCGTTTTTTCTTCTCTGACTTTTCAATTTTATAATTTTGCAATTTTTCCATTTTTTCATTCGAAAAGTTGAAAAATCTAAAGTTTGAAAATAAAAAAAATAAAAAATTTTGAAAAAATGAACAACTGAAAAAACGAAAAAGTGGAAAATCGAAATATTTCAAATTAAAGAACTGAAGAACCAAAAAATGAAACCATTGTAAAAATAAAAATCGGGAAACTTAGAATTCGAAAAAAATAATAAATCGAAAAATTGGAAAACCAAAAAATTCTAAAATCTAAAAATTATAGAATCGTCAAAACGCTAAAGTCCAACAATTGTAACATTAACAAATCATTAATATTATTAAATCTAAATTCCAGAAAAATTGAGGGAGTTAAAAATTGAAAAAGTGAAAAATCGCAAAAACAAAATACATATTGAAAATTAAAGAAATCGGAAAATCGGATAATTGTGAAATCCAAACTGAAATAGAGCAATTTCAAGTTGAAAAACCGAAAAATTAAAAATTCTAGAATTTGAAAAATTAAAAAATTGAAAATTTTCACATTGAAAAAAATAAAAATTACAAAATTAGAACATTAAAAAACCAAAAAATTTAAAAGTCTAAAAACTGGAAAATTAAAAATTGAAAACTTGAGAAACTCAAATCGAAAAATTGCTAAATCTAAAAATTCAAAAATTCAAAAGTTGTAAAATTGAAAATCTGAAATCTCGGTTAATAGAAAGCGGATTAAACTTAATTCCTGATTAACTTTTAATTGAGGTCCGTTGCTAAGCAACGTGCATATTTTAACCAATCCCGAGCTCATATTCTAGACTTTAATTCTCTGATAAATTAATCGCAAACCGAAAAACTTAAGAAACAGAAAAATTGAAAAATTGAAGAAATGAAAAATTCAAGTAAAAAAATCCCAAAATTTTTATAAATTTTCAGAGTAAGATTTATTTGGCTGCAGTTCAGGGGCGAGTGAAGTTCTGTCGAAATATTTTTTTTTACTTTCCGAGAGTAAACTAAGGAAGTATCGTAATCGAGTCCGTCGTGACCCCCAGAGTACAAAACATAGGTTGCCCGTTTCTGTCCATCCGTCTGTCTGTGTCAATTTTTCTTTAACAGATAATCTCCCAAACTATTGGACCGATTATTGTCAAATTTTATATCTGTATTACGAATATCGTGTAGATGGTAAAAAGTAAAGCAAGCTTTGTCTAATCATCCCCACTAACAATATGGTGACGTAACCTTAAAAATATACATAGTAAATAGACAATAAAAGAATAAAAAATGAAATATGGTAAATTGGGCAACTGAACGAAGACGCTAAATTTCATTAAAATTAAAACAGTGAAATACCGATGAAATAAGAACAAGAAGAATAAAACAACGCAGTTTGCATTCACAGCAGTATTTATTTGGCACAACAATGTGTAAATTAAGCAAAGTTTACTCCAGAATTAAATTTCTACAAATATTTAAACATAAAATAATCCTTTCCGTCGACAGACCGTATTTGTTTTCTAAATCTTTTAAGTTAATACAATTGTTTGTACAGTTTTGACGCTAACAGCTATCTAATAAATCAAAACTGCGTTAGTTTAAAACAGCTCTAAAACTGTTTAAGTTTTAAAATATATCACACGAATTTTATGTTTTTCCGTAAAAGATCTGCATAAATGTTTAATGCTTAAAGTTTCAGGTGGATAATAACAATTAGAACTGTACCGTAAAGAATAATGGGACCATCTGAGTCTGGAAGATTTAACGTAATTTCCAGTTAAATTGTGCCAGTGTCTCCTTTATTTTACAACCTCCGGATTAATAAATCCGCACGAATGCGAGTTTTCTACTTTAATAACAATTTGGGCGCGCTGTTCTTCATCCACAAAAAGCAGTTAATCTGGTCTGAGAATCTCAAACGGAATGACGTTATGACTTTTTTCTTCTGCATAAATTCTCCTGAAACAAAAGTGCATCCTGCAGCTCGATTTGCGATAACGGCTACAAAGTAATTGTTTTAAAGTATCTATGCGTTTCAAATTTGGCCCGAACCAAGGTCGTCAATATAATTTTGCGAAAACCTTTGTTACACAAAGGTAGCGATGCGTGTACATCTAAGAAATGTTTAAAGTAAACAATTTTTTCATCAGTGTGTATAAATTTGGGGAACGTCAGCACCGGATCAAAATAAGCTGAAGGATGTTGATGGTCTTAGTAATCGGGTCGTAGGTTCACAGGTCATTTACAACCCTGCACAAGTAAGCAGAATTATTACAAGCCGAGCTTATTAAGCAAACGGTGCTCTGAGTCTGTGAAAATTTCATTTATGGGGGAATAATTAATGAGTTGTGGTAGATAAATCCCACTTCGCTCTTATTATAATTATTATCAAAGGACGATCTTTTTAATTTTCGAGCGTAAGCTAAAGAAGTATTTTATGTTTTTTCGAGGTTTCATGATCCCTACAATAGGAAAACATAGGTCTCTCGTTTTCGTTTGTCTGTCTGCCATCTGTCGTTTATCCACGACTGTGTCACTTTTTATTATGATCTTCTAAACTACCGTAAACTGTCAATCAAAATTTATTTAATTGACGACGCCCCTAAAAAGTAATGACGTCATCTCAAAATTTTGGTGAATAAATCCTATTGGGTGATTAAACTAACAATTTTTCAAGTTTTTGATTTTTTACTTTAATTGTTTTACAATATTTCGTTTTTATAGGTATCTGATTTTTTAGGTTTCATTTTCCAATAATCTGAAATTCATTGTTTCCTTTTTCTAATTTTGAAAATTATCAAATTTTCAATTTGATAATTTTGCAATTTTCAATTTTTGAATTTTTCTAATTTATAGTTGCCCGATTTTTGAATTTTTACGATTTGAAAATTATCCGTTTTTTCTGTTTTGTAATTTTGCAACTTTTTTGATTTTTTATTTTTTTATTTTTACAATTTTTCGATTTCTGATTTGTCCATCGTTTATTGAATATTGAGTTGATTTTTCAATTTGCTATCAGATTTTGGACATTTTATTTTTCAATTGTTCAATTTTTCAATTCAATAATTTGTCGATGTTACGATTATCTAATTTTTCTATTCGTAATTTTATAAACTTTCAATTTTTTGATTTTCCGTTTTGAAATCCTTGGGTTTTTGCAAGTTTTGATTTTTTATTTTGCAGTTTTTCATTTTTCAATTTACATAATAATTTTGCAATTTTTCATTTTTGCTGTTTAATAATTTTCGAGATTATAGTTATTCAATTTTTCATTTCTGTAATTTTGCAATTTTTCATTTTTTTTATTTTAATTGTTCAAAATTTCAATTTTATTTTTTCAGTTATTCAAAGTTCATTGCTTGGTTTTTCCAATTTGTTGACTTTCCATTTTTCAAATCTTTTCCAATTTTTTTATTTTACAATTGTCTGATTTCTCAATTTTTAACTTTGAAAATTATCCAATTTTTCAGTTTTGTAATTTTCCAGTTTTTTGATTTTTGAGTTTCTTATTCTTCAAGAATTTTTCAGATTTACAGTTTAATAATAATTTTTCGATTTTACAATTATCCAGTTTTTCAGTTTAATTATTTTACAATTTTTCGTTTATCCGATTTTTCAATTATCCGAATTTCGTTGTTGAATTTTCTATTTTTTTTTTATTTTAAAATAATTGTCTGATTTCTTTTTCAATTTTAAAATTTTACGATTTTTTATTAGTAATTTAGCAAATTATTAATTTTTCAATTTTATATTTTTACAGTTTCTAGATTTCTGAATTGTTCAATTTTTAATGAATCAGTTATTCAATTTTCAATTTTTAAAATTTTTTACCTAGATCTAATTTTCCAAATTCTTGATTTTTCAATTTTTTACTTTTGGAATGCTTCGATTTTTCAGTTTTTCGAATTATTATCTTTTAATCGATTTAACAATTATCCAAATTTTCAATTTTGTAATTTTACAAATTTTCATTTTTTTTTATTTTTAATTGTTCAAAATTTCAATTTTATTTTTTCAATTTTTTGATTTTCAGTTTAATTATTTTTTCGTTTATTAAGGTATCTGATTTTTCAATTTTTAATTTTTCAATTATTCGAATTTCATTGTATCGATTTTCTAGTTATTTGAGTTTTAATATTTCCAAATTTTCGTTTCCAATTGTCCAAGTATTTGATTTTTCATTTCAAAATTTTGCAATTTTTTATTTTTTTGATTTCGTAGCTTTTGTATTTTACAATTGTCTGATTTTTCAAATTTTCAGTTTTAAAATTATACAATTTTTTAGTTCGAATTTAGTAAATTTTTCGGTTTTATATTTTTACAATTTTTCGATTTCTCAATAGTCCAGTTTTTCAATTTTCGATTTTTGATTTCTCTAATTTTTCAAATTCTAGATTTTTTCAATTTTTCGACTTTGGAATCCTTCGATTTCGCATTTTTCGATTTTTATTTTTGAATTTAATAATTTTGCAATTTTTTATTTTTACTGTTTAATAATTTTTAAGTTTACAGTACGTATTTCGATTACTCAGTTTTTTGCAATTCTTCAATTTTTTATTGTTATTTGTTCAAAATTTCACAATTTCACTTTTAATTTTGGAAGTTTTTGAGTTTTCGGTTTAATTATTTTATAATTTTCCGTTTTTAAAGCTACCTGATTTTTCAATTTTTT